GCCGCCAGAGCGTCTTCCGGGAGGAAGTGACGTGTAGCAAGCGCGACGCGGGTCTGTCGCGGCTCTCAGAGCGCCCCTGTGCGAGTGTGGGCGATCATTCAGTCCTTCGAGTCATAAATACTGTCGTTAATGAGCATTTTCAGTGCGAAACTCGCTGCTCGCTTTCAGTGACGCTAACAGATACAGTTTCTCTCTTCGTGGAACTACCTGTCTAGTATAGAAAACACATTAATCATAGAGGTTGAGGAAGCTCGTCCTAACGATGGGAAGGTTCGTTTGATGTCTGGAGGGTGAGTAGGAGTGAAATGAAAAAGGGGGAGGGGAAATAAGAAGACAGAAGGGAAACAGTTCTTATGGGACCGGCGTTGCCAAGCTTCCTGAGTAGATAGGAGTATGTCTAGTGGGGTACTGAAAGAATACCGGTGTGGGTGGAGCACAAAAAGCCTGAAACGGAGCCTGGTTATCTTGAAAGATGGGCGGAGATCATCATGAGAAGGATCTATTGTACGGTCTTAAGAACAGTAGTCAACTATTGGAAGGTTTAAACAGGGAGAGAAGGCCATGTCACATAATTAGATTTTAAAAATTAAACTATTTTGAGATGGTTGTACATTCCTGTGCAGTTGTAAGAAGTAATACGGGGAGATTCTATGTACTCTATCCATTTTCCTTAAGTGGTAACAGCTTGTAAAATTGTAGTACCATACAGAACATTTCTTTCCATAACTTCCCTGATCCTACACTTGCCCTTATATAATATTACCTACTTCTTTCCTTAACCTCTGGGAACCACTAACCTGTTTTCGATTTCTATAACTTTTTCTCTTTTAATTACATAAACGGAACCATACAGTACATAACTTTGGGGATTTACTTTTTTTTTAATTCAGTATAATCCTCTGGAGATTCACTAGAGTGAATCAGTGTTATCAACAGTGTTCTATATATTGTAATCAAAGTGTGAATGTAACACTTTGTTTAATCATTCACCTGTTGAAGGTTATTTGGATTGTTTCCATTTAGGTACTGTAATGAATAAAGTTGCTATAAACATTTGTATACAGATTTTTCTATGAACATGAACCTTCATTTCTCTGGAAATAATAAAGGCCCAGGGGCACAACTGCTGAGTCCATGGCAGTTGCATGTTTAGTTTTTAAAGAAACTACCAAATTGTTTTCCATGGTAACTATAGTTTTACATTCCCACCAGGAATATATGAGTGATTCGATTTCTCTGCATTTCTTGCATTCTTGACTATTTTCATTTTAGACATCCTGCGAGGTATGTAATAATCTAAAAATTGTGGTTTTAATTTGCATCTTTTTGAGGTAACATTGAACAACGTTTCTGTTTTAAGGATAACTCTCTTTTGGTGTTCACACACCATACCCACCACCAAAGAACCCAGCCTTCCACCATACTCCACTAAATTTGCACTTCCTTAATGGCTAATTGGTTGAACATCTTTTCATGTGTTTATTTGCTATCTGTATAACCTCTTTGTTGAAATGTGTTTGTATTTTGCCAATTTTCTAATTGGATGGTTTGGTTTTTAACTGCTAGGTTTTGAGGGTTCTTTACATAATCTAGGTAATTATTTACTGATTTGTGACTTACAAATATTTCTCTCAATTTATAGCTTGTCCTTTTATCCTTTTAGCAGAATTTTTGTTGTTTTGTTTTTTGCCAAGTGCAAAAGTTCTTAATGTTAATGAAGTCCAACTTACCAGTTTTTCCTTTTATGGATCATGCTTTTGGAGTCAAGTCTAAGAAAATAACTCTTAGTATGATCCTACAATTTTTATTGTGCTTTTAAAGATTTCATGTTTATATTTAATTCTGTCTATTTTTTGTTACTTTTTACATATGGTGTAAGGCTTAGGTAGAGGTTCCCTGCAAATTTTCCCCTCCCATATCCAACTGCTCCAGCATCATTTTCTTTTCAAATTAGTTATGGATGATCCCTTGTATGAAAGTCCAACTTCACACCATGAGAGGAACTAATCCGAGAACCTGGCCCTACTTCCCAAGGGAACTCTTAAATTTCTCAGAAACTCTTTGTAACCATGTATCCTATATATTAATTATGTAATAATCTAATATTTAAAAGCATTGGTTTTTAATCTTAATATTAGGTAAGATCTGGATATATTTTTCTAGATGGAGACTCAGTTCTCATGCTTCTCTACAGGCTGTCGCTTATACTGCAATCAAAGTGGTCTTCTAAAATTTATCTTCCAACAGCTTCTCATCCCTCAAAATCAGAGCCTGGAATGGGACTGAAACAGCAAGACCAACATTTAGTTTTGCTGTGGAGGGGGATATGGGTTGAAGGGAATTGGGTTTTGCTTATTTATCTCATGATGATACTAGAAAGAAATTGATGGATAGAGAGGCAAGTGCTGGAGAAATGTCCTTGAGTAGATGTTTCCTTACATTTTCCTCAGAGCCTTTGCTTCCCAACAATCAACACCACACAGCTAATGATGTCCAGCTCTCCTGTTTAAACTAACGTCTACTACTTTCCACACAAAATTACACCTTAGCTGGACATATAAGACATTCTGTCACTTGCTTAAAAAAGTATGGAAGGGCCTCCCCAGTGGCGCAGCGGTTGACTGCTGGGTTGCGAAGCTGCCTGAAGCCTCTGCAGCGCCGGTTCAATCCCCGGCCGCTGGAGAGGGTCCCACATGGCGCGCAGACCTCTCCTGCTGCCCACTGCTCCCCTCAGCAGTGTACTTTGTCACTCTGCCTGCTCTGCTCTCCTCTGGCTCTGGTGAATTCTCTCACCCTCCCGCACTTCTGACTGTACCCAGTGCTTGTATAAATAAATAAATAAATCTTTTAAAAAAAATATGGAACACCAAATATGTAGAGCACTGTAATGAGTGCTAGTTATATGTTATGTGGTCTTTGCCCTTGTAGAACTTATGGTGTAAGTGAAAAATAAGCTTGGGGTAGGTTGCCATAGCACAGGAAATACCAGGCAGTGTTTAAGACACTGCTGGGGATTTGGAAGGCGGGAGGGGACCAAAAATGTGGTAGAGATACTAACAAAATAACTAAAGGTCTTGAGAAATGAAGGGATGATGGATTACCTCATTATAATGTGGAGTGGTTGAGTTTACATGAGAGACACTTCAGCTATAGCTGGAGAGAAAGGTTGGGTGCTGAAGCAGGTAGGTTTATAGATTTGATAGTGGGAAGATGAATTCCATCTTCTGATAGTTTTTCAGTAAGAGGCAAAGTCTTTAGCAGGATGGAGAACAGAGAGACTATCAAAATGGTCATCTTAGAGCAATAACAAAGTCATACTGCCTATTTCTCAACTCCTAAAACCCCCTACTTGTGTCACATCTCTGAGATTTTTTAATCTCATTATTCCTTTCTGGCAAACCCCTACTTTTTCTCCCAGGTCTATTAGGATCACTAACTTTTGAGACCTCACACCAGTTACCTACCTCATTTCCATAATTATAATGCACCAAAGTTTGTGTTTGCTCCCCCTACTAAATAGCAAGTTTCTTGAAAACCTTGATCGGTGTTCCTCTTGTAGGACCCATTCAGGACATTTAAGTAAGGATTTTCAATAAATGTTCAACATAAACTTTAATAACACTTTCTGTCTGTGGAATCTATGACTAGAATTTATTGGAGGTATATAAAAGTGACAGGATTAACCAATCATTAGAATAAAGTAGCTCATGACATTTGTGTCCTTTTAAAAATGGCACTGCATTATGGACACACACCACACTGGTTTTCATTTATTCCTTTTGTTTTATTCAAATGGCAAAACAAGTTTCAAGATACAAATTGTAGTTATACTCAGTTGTGTTTGATTTAAAAACATCAATTATGCTTTGTTAATAACTTCCAAAACCAAATCTAAGTCGTCGTGACTATAATGTCTCCCAGTCCATTTCTGGAAGCTACACCAATTTTAGAAGCCACACCAATTTTCACTCTACAAAAAGGAAAATGATGCAATAAAAGATAATGAACAGTTACAAGTTCTTTCTGAGCAGAACTTTAACCATTATAAGGGAGACTAAGAAGAATACCTGTTTCTGTTCTATACTATTAGCAGCCAGCCTTAAACATTCTGCAAAAGTGCATTTCTGGTCCTACCTCAACCTTACAGAGATAGATATCGCAAGTCTCTTATGACATCATAGAAAGTCCAACTCTTCATTAATAGGATTTAGAATTTGCTAATACCTTCAGGTTCTTTTCCTAAGAACAAGGGAATAATAGGAAAACTCAATTTTGAAAACCAAAAAAGAAAAACAAATATCTGAATGTACTCTGATTTAAATAATTTCAAATAGGTTGAACTAAATAAATAATATAGACTGGTATCAACATTATAGAGGGAAATAAAATAACTTTAAAAGCACCCAAATACTTTAATATTTAAGAATCCAGTAATTTTTATTTTTACGTCCTCCAAATTTCTCCTACTGTTTGTTATATAATGACGGTTAGTAACTTTTAGTGTGAGTATATTAATTTTTGTGACGGCAAACAGATTTTTTTTAATGATCTATGAAGCCAAAGAAATATCCAGCATCAAACAAAACAAAACTAGCTAGGTACTTCAAGTAAGTGCACAGTAATAGGATTTTTATTTAGTTCAGCACATGGCTGTTCCATGACTGAAGGTGCATGCTACTTTTAGATGTATAGACTTTTCCTGAAGATTCAAGGCATACTTCAATTCCATCTGCTCATTTATGGTATAAAGATAGCAAATCAGACAGTCAACAAGATAATGACCTTTTGAACGTACCAATTGGGAAGTTAGTGTCATGCATTAGGCTTAAGAATACAGCTAAACAAATCAAAGTTTTTCCAGGGTACTTTTCCCATCAAAGTTTTAACTACTTGGAAACCACCTGTTCCACTTTTTAAGGTGAACAGAGTTCTCATGTTTTCAGGAAACAAATATGGGTAAAAAAGAGTTAAACTTAAGATTCCCAAACTTCAATTTAAAGAATTTATTTTCCCATTTGTAGAGTAACATTATTGTAAAATCCACAGTTATTGCAATACCTGCATTGCTTAAAAGAACTCCTAAGAATTTTGTTAAAGCATATTTTTTAAAAACAACCAAAATAATGTACATTGTTTTCTCTTAACATTCTGTCATTAAAGTCTACATAATGTCCTCTGTATAAATCAATGTGATGTTACATAATATACATGATCTGTTTTTATCCTAAAGGTTTCTGACCATGTATGATATCCAAAATAGATCCAATGCTTTTAATGTCAGACTGTAGAGACAGTTATGATCCTAAACAAAGGAAGGAAAAGCTTTATATACAGGACAGAAGTCTGACAGTTTAGCTGTTAGCAGCATCCGCTTGGCGAGGCCACCCTTCTTCTTCAACTCCAGAGTCATATTCCTCTTCAGATGATTCTTTCGTTGGAGCTCTATAATGAAAGCCAACCATGTTTATTTTGTTTAATTAGGGATAAGCATGATTTCTAGATGCAAAATAATAAATTAATCCACATAGTTAGAAAAACCACACACTTTTTAATAATTAAGATTGCTTAGGGGTGAAATATGGAAAAATTTTAGACCACACATTCAAGAGTTCCAAGTAATTTCCTTAACATTTTCCCTAACAGATTTACTACTGAAATAAAATGACAAGTCTTCAGTTGTGAAGGCTTAAAAAAATCAGTTTCTAAGGAATCTAATATTTCAACTCAAATGCTTCACATAACGTGTCTATGGTAAAGATGTTGACAGTTTCTGACTAATTCTAACCTGACTCAAATTCATCAAAATTATGATCAGAACCACAATTTCCTTTAAAGTCATATATGAATTTTATTAAACGATAAAAACAAAGTATGTCTTTTTGAATAACTAAAGTTATTCAGAATCAATCACTGCCTTCTAAGTTATATTAGAAGATAAGCAAACATAAAACAACATACTTTGTTATTTAGTTAAAACAGAAAGCTAATTTTTTGTAGGTTAACATTAATGTCAAGTACTGCATAATATTTGTTGAACAGATAAGAGGGCAGTAAACTATAGCCCGCAGACCAAATAAAAACGCAATCACCTATTTGTGAAATAAAGATTTACTGATACACAGACATGTTCATTCGTTAATGAATTGTCTATGGTTGCTTTTATGCTATGAACTCTGTACTGAGTAACCACAATATAGAGTCTATGACCCTAAATTATATATTCAGCCCTTAACAAGAATAAAGTTTGCTTGCCCCTGGAATAAAGCAGCAAAAGATGTGTCAAGTTTGTCAACTGATATGATACAACTGAGAAAAAATTATGTCAACAAAGTTCCAGTCTGGTGAAAGCCATGATTAGAGAATAAGTAGTTCATTTAAATCTTTTCATATGGATTACTTTCATGTCTCCTTTGATACTTCTTCCTTAGGGGAAAAAAGTGGAGGCTAACTCTGAATATCAGTTTTCAAAAAGGCTTATAAAATACGATTATTTTATAGATCAAAATTGGAAAATTTTCCTACAGAAATTAAGAGATTATTGTTTCCTTTATGAATATAAGGTTTTTTATATGTATATTTTATGATAGATTAATAAACCAAAGCAATCAAGAGCTGATCTTTAGTTTCAGACGTGTTCTAGCTTGACAATATACTTTACCGGATATATCCTGGTTCCTTTTTCCCTTCTACCACTTCTTTGTCAACCTCCACACAAACAATATCAGAATTAGGAACTTCAAACATTGGTTCTAATAACAGCTTTTCCTACAGAGATTAAAAGTAATTAGTTATAATGAAAATTGAGGATACATTCAAAATACTTGCATTCTATAGGCTACCAATCAAATTCATTAATTCAACAAATATTATTGAGTCCCTATGATGTAACCAGAACTAAATTTTGAAAAAAGTCAGCGTAAAACCTTTCATATTCTTCATATTAAAATAGCATCTAATTAAATTAAGAGAAAAGTCATTTATAACATTCCTGGCATATTCTATCACCAAGGAGGTAAACTGGTAATCCTTACTTTGAAATTAATGTAATCTTAAATTATCTGTACCAAATTCTTCAAATAAGCATTTCTCTTAAGTGCTACAGTAGATCTAAAGTTGTTCACTGAAGAAAACTAGTTTTGCATACATGCAGAGGCTGGATTATATCCCATCTAAAGGAAAATACTGGCTGAATACATCAAATTTCTTTTAAAATGTCAACTATCACCTATTCTTCTAGTTTGTATGTCTATAAATCTGCCATTAATCAGTAACAGCTGAAGTCAGGTCTTTATTAGAAAGAATATTTTCAAACTATCTGTAACAGATGTGTAGCTCTAATCTACAAGTCCTATTGAGATCAGAAGTAATATTTACCAGTAAAATCCTTAGAATAGAAAAATGTGCTGCTTCTTTTTTTAAGATTTATTTATTTATGCATATAAGAACTGGGGTACAGGCCAGAGGGGGGGTGAGAGGATTCACCAGAGACAGAGTGGGGAGCAGAACAGGCAGATTGACAGAAATACACTGCTGAGGGGAGCAGTGGACAAGTCAGGAGAGGTCTGCTGCGCCATGTGGGTCACCTCCCTGGCAGGGGATTGAACTCATGCTGCAGTGACTGTGGATAGCTTCATAGTGCTATGTCTTAACCCCTTGCGCCACCAGGGAGGCCCAAAAAATGTGCTTCCTTTGGGAACACATAGGAAAACAAAAACCCACTGTGCCGCCAGACCCGGTGGGGTTTGGGAGGAAAGGGGACAGGAAATCTCAGGAAGATAATAGGTAGTAGCTGAAAATAGGTTGAGTCTCTAGGATTTTCATGAAAATAAAAATAGTGAGTTTATACATATTGTAGAATTTAGGAGTAAAATGTCATAGTATCTCTAATTTCAAACAAACAAGCCAGAATGAAGATGTCAATGGTCTGAGAAGAGGCTCTGGGTTACTTAGTCAGATTAAGGCCCTTGTAGAATTTCCTGAAATTTTCCTTCACATGATAATTGATTTTCTCTATTTCATTAATTGTATTATGTACACATCATTTGTTACATCTTAATATTCCTTTTTTCGAAAGAAATAAAACACAATCTACAGTGACATTAAAAACCTATGAAATATTAAGCTCATCTTCTGGATTTATTTCCAAAACAAAAACAGGAAGGCTTGATAGTCTCAAAAGTCAGACACAACAATAATTTAGTTTTTATGTAATAATACCAACTTACCATTATTGACCGAAGGCCTCGTGCACCTGTTTTTCGTTCTAGTGCCAATCTGGCTATAGCTTTCAAAGCATCCTCAGTAACATTCAGTTCACACTACAAATAGATTTAAAAGAAATGAGAATTTAGGGTAATAATTGATGATATTTTCCTAATACAGCATTTGACCTATTAGCAATTACTGCCTAACACCATTAGTGGTCCAATGTCCTGACTTTACAGATAAAGAAATTTGTTCCACCAAAGGGTCAAGTATACTGATTAACTAATACTTAGAAACAGATCCTAACTGGTTAGAATATCACCTCCTTCCTAGAGAAATATCCACTGGGACCTATAATCCCATTTTAAAGAATGTTATTAACCCTCTCATCCTCTAGACCAAAGGCAAAACTTTAAACAAGTCTTTCTAAATTAGCACAAATTTCAAACTAGTGAAATTCAAATTATTGAGAACTTAATATACAAAAAATATCAAAATACTTTGGAACATCAGATTTTACAAGCTCTTGGTATTAACTCTAACGTCTACCTCTAGAAAAAATAAAATTCAAGTGAGGTAATTATTTCTCATGGTGCATTAGAATTTTGCCCTCAAGAAGCACTTCCAATCAACTAACCTATGAGAAACTATCAGTATTAAGAATCACAAATTTGTCCTTAGTCCTCAGAGATTTTCTAGATTAACATGGATTTTATATGTTAACTCAACATTTACTGAACCTTAAGTGTTTACATATTAAAGACTGAATGATGAGTTGATACCACCTTTGCCCTCGAGGGGTGGTGACAAATTAGCAAATCTGCATTTAGCACTGTGTATTCACAGTGCTAAGGGAGCATCAAAATGGGAGCATTTTAATAAGACTTGGGGACCACTGAAGGACTTTATGGAGGGAAGTAATAATTAGCTTTGTGTTTATTCATTCAATTAATACTTATTAAGAACTCAATATTTATTTGCTGGGCACTGTGCTCAGTAATTTATTTATTTATTTATTTATTTATTTTTTAATAGAGGCATGTTTTATTTATTTGTTTGTTTGTTTGTTTATACATGCACTGGGTACAGTCAGAAGCGCGGGAGGGTGAGAGAATTCAGCAGAGCCAGAGCGGGGAGCAGAGCAGGCAGAAGGACTGAAGTACACTGCTGAGGGGAGCAGCGGGCGGCAGGAGAGGTCTGCGCACCATGTGGGACCCTCCTCCGGTGGCCGGGGAGCAGCCGGGGATCGAACCAGCGCAGCAGAGGCCGCGGGCAGCTTCGCAACCCAGCGCTCAACCGCTGCGCCACCGGGGAAGCCCTGTGCTCAGTAATTTAAAAGAGATCCATTCTGGAAATGGAAGATAGATATTTTGGTACTGGTGATCAGAGTCAAACTTGAGACAGTCTGACTGAGAACCAATTCAGGGGTCAAAGTAAAGAATGATAGCAGTTTGACTTGATATAGCGGCAACAGAAATGAGACTATTGACAGAGACATTAAGTTCATATAACCCAAAACATTTGCTATCTGATTAACTGTATGGACTTGGGTGACCTCCAAGTGTCCAGCTGCAGAGCAGATATGGGAGCTAATAAAAGTTAAGCAAAAGTATATAAACATATACACAGTCTGTCACAACAAAGCATTTACAGTATCTTGGCTGAAAAGATAATCCTGTGTGTCTGGCTTGAGGAGCTGGGGACACATTGCTGGCATAATTTCTTTCTCTAGATCCTTGAGCTTTGTTGCTATGATGATCTCAATTAAGAAAAAAAAATAAATCTAAGTTTAAAGCAGGACAATGTTCCTTCCTTGATTCCTAGATCCACATTTAGCAAAGAATAGGCAGGTATTCCAGGTGAGCATTATTGCTTTTTAACTTGTTATGCTAATTTATACAATTACAATCACTAAAAAACCATCATAAATTAACTAAGGATGAAAAATTAAAATCTAACCTTGTCCATGCTGAATAAAGCCTGGTACTGAGGAATAACAGCATTACGTGGCTCAGTTAGTATTTGTACAAGTGTTTTTTCATCGAGGCTATGCAAAGGAACTACCACAGGCAACCGTCCCACAAACTCAGGAATCATGCCAAATTCAATGAGATCTCTAGCTTCCACGTGACGTAATAGTCGATCTTTTTCTTCAATATCTTGGTGAGTATTTGATTCTCCACTTCGATTGGCCAGGTCTGCAGCAGCTGCAGCCCTTCTGCCTTTTCCCAGATTAGATGGTGTTCCAAATCCAAGATACTGCCAAAGAAATGATTGATATTATAAATAATAGAATGAAGTAGCTTTGTACTAAGTACTTTTCATGCATGTCTCATGCGGTATTTGTAACAGAAGTGCTATCATTATTCACATTTTATAAATGAAGACATGGGCTTAGAGATGTTAAGTACCTGAACAAGCGCTCACTGCTGCAAGTGGTAAAGCCAGGATTTGGACTATCTGCTTTCAGAATGGATAACAACCACTATAAAAGGAGATTTTCCACAAGTATCTTAAACCACAGTTAAGCATTCTATTAAAGTATGGGGCTGCATACATCAAACTTTGTTAGAATAATTTAGATTTAATAAAGAATATACTAGTATGACATGAAACAAGAATGCTAACTTTGCTGCACAAGGCTGGGTTTTTAAGATGTATGGATCTTGCTTTAGCTAATATCAAGAAACATTTATTATATATAAGCATACACAGTAATAAATATATATATACACATTACATATATAAACATTCATTAAGCATTATTTCAGACACTGGGATACAAACGCTTATCCTAAAGGTGCTCATTTAGAGATTGAACACATGAAGACATTAAAGTATCAGGCTGTACAGGAAAACTGTGACAGCCAACAGGAAGAAAAAGGCATGTAATAGACAGGGAGGGTAGGAGATAGTCAGGAATGCCTTCACAGAAGAAATGCATGACCATTTGACAGACTGAGGCAACATGAACATGTATTTGCCAATTAGGTTGAGGTAGGAGAGGGCATGAGCAAAGACAAGAGAAATGAAACTGAGGATTGCAAGCAGTATTATACGTTTAGAATAGAGTAATACTATTAAATATCACACCCCTGATTTTCAGAAAGGGTTGACAATAACAATAACTACAAAGATGTGGTTAATCCTCTAGAAATCTCTGCCAATGACTCTCTTTTTATCTATCTTCTTTTCAGAAAGATCATTGTGACACTCTTTTAATCTCTATCTCCCCTGAAACCTTATACATTTCGTCTTTCAAGTAGTAAGAACTTTAACTCATGATTTCTCCCTATTTTTCATTAAGCAGTTCAAAGCTAATGAAGTGACTTAATTTCTAATTAAGAACTATGATGTAAACCTTCTTTCTACATGTTTCTGAGCTCTTTATTTTTAACTGTTCTTCCCTACATGTTTCTAGTTTAAAATTCTTTTTAGGTCTACTAGTTACAAATCAATATCAGATTATGACCTCTGCCTTAGATTACAGAATATGAAATATAAAGTCATATTCCTCTCTCATATACACAAGAAATTATTTCTTCTTTCTAATTTGTTAGGCTAATTATGTAGAATTTATGTAACAAAAACAAATTATAAAAAATAAAATCCTAACCTGACCCATGCTGAATAAGGTCTGGCACTAAGGGATAATAGCATTAAGTGGCTTGGTAGTTGCATAAGTATTTTTTTAATCTAGGCTATGCAAAAGAATTATCACAATCATCTCACTACCAATATCATTCTGTCTCTACTACTAACCTGCTACTTAAACTAGTATAAGACCAAGGAAACTTAAAGCAAAAATTTAGCAGAGGTGATATATGGTAGAGTCAGATAGGTAGGATATTATGTGTTTCATAAAAGTAATTGTTTATGGTTAGCTGTTATGTAAAACACAAACATGGAAAATACAGGTGTATTTTGGGATTCTTACCTCTACGTGACATTACATTTTATTATAATAAATAACAAATAGATAATGGGCAAGTATGTTGAGGCTATGAAGAAATAAGTTCCAATTAAAGTCATTGCTTTTATTTATTTTTTTTTAAGATTTATTTATTTATTGATTGATTGATTGGAGTTTTATCTTTATTTATTTATTTATGCAAGCCCTGGGTACAGTCAGAAGCGCAGGAGGGCGAGAGAATTCACCAGAGCCAGAGCGGGGAGCAGAGCAGGCAGAAGGACCGAAGCACACTGCTGAGGGGAGCAGCGGGCAGCAGGAGAAGTCTGCGCGCCGTGTGGGACCCTCCTCCGGTGGCCGGGGAGCAGCCGGGGATTGAACAGGTGCTGCAGATGCCGCGGGCAGCTTCGCAACCCAGAGCTCAACCGCTGCGCCACTGGGGAGGCCCTAAAGTCATTGCTTTTAAGAATGTTCAAGAAACACCTATAAAACTAGGTGGGATCAACAGCCCTTTTCTCAGTCTACAAACTGCTTCCCTCCATTTGTGAATGTCAGCAGTAATCTTACGAGAGACTCCATAGGCATGGGCCACAGACTTAAGCCTTTTATTTAGCTTCAGTAAACTGGGCAAGAAAAATGAATAGAAATGTTATAGATATAGCAGTTACCTCAAATAATAAAGTAACTTTTATATGAAATATAAAATTTAAATTATCAATTACATCAAAAAAATGCCTATATATAGATGATAATTAGAAATCTTCCAATTCACTACTTGAAATTTAGAAAATATTCAGGAATATATTTCTGGTATGACCTAAGAAAATCTAACTCAAAAATCCACAACTGACAACCAACAGATAATGATAATAAAACAGTCCATCCTCTAATGACAAATGCTCTCTATCCCAGTAACTTCTCAGAAAAACTTACCTTTTCATTTTTTCTCCTGCTGATGATTCTGTCTAAACCATTGAAAGCACCAGACGCAACAAACAGGATGTTTGTTGTATCAACTTGCACTGTTTCTCCACGTAGCTTGCGTGAATTCTTTTCTGGAACGTTGACTATTGTGCCTTCTAATAGTTTTAATAAGCCCTAAAGAATGAATCATTTACAGCATAATTATATAAGTGTATTATTTATTGTACTTTAGATAATGGTGTGGGGAAAATAATATGTGGGATGGTCAATGAGCACAACAAAGAAAAGGTCCACATCTCTACAACTAACAGGACAATGTAATGCACTGTCACATTAGTAGCTCATGAGTTCATGTGAAATTGCTACAGATCACCTAATGCATTCAGGGAACAGTCAACCTGAGGGGTTATTTTCAATGGCAAAAACATAATTCTGACATAAAAACAGAATTATGACTCTATAAGGCAGTACCCAACCATGATTGGAACACTCAAAATTTGAAAATACTTGGAAGATTTGCCTTTCATATAAATTAAAATTCTATTCTATTCCTAGTGTAGGCATTCTCAAAGTTCTCAAAGTTAAACTTTGAGAATACCTATATTTTGAGATGACTTTATAAAAAATTATCCAGCACCTAAGTGTGGATGTACCACTCTTTGTCTTGGTTAAAAAACTTAAGCAATTGTCCTTACCCTGTAGTTTATGTCATAATTAGTTACCAGTAAAATGTCAAGTTGGCCAATAGATCATTATGACTTCAATTATGATTCTACAAGGAATGAAACACTAGCTTATCTTTTTTATCCTATTTTCTTGGTGAAAAGAGTAAGAAACATGTACATTCCTTTATGTCTAGTTAGAAACAGAACTTTGTTTGAGAGTCTTCCAGAAATGCTTAACTGGGCCTTTGAGGAATAAAATAAAAAAATTAAATTTCCTTTTTTCTGTTCTTTAAAAAATATTTTTAATTTCCTAAGAAAGGTAATTTGGTATTTAAAATTACTAACAGCTGATCTACTTTAAAACGGTATGTGGAATTTGGGGTGGGAGAAATAAAACAGAATCTAATTGAATGTGAAACTAAACGTACAATATTTGGGAGGTAGATGTATTCCCTTCCTTTTAGTGGACTTGAACAAAATATTCAACTGCTTACTTGCTGAACGCCTTCTCCACCTACATCCCGTAACTGATGAATGCCTGGCACACTGCCAATCTTATCTACTTCATCCAGAAAGACAATTCCTATAATTTAAGGAGGATTCTATTTATAATATGAAAAAGATATACACAAGATAACCTCAACTTTTAAAGACTAGGTAGTTAGAGCAAGGTTATTCAATCTTTCACACTTAAACATATGCAATGGCTTAATATTATAAAGATATACTGTTAATCTCGCCCATTCATCATTTTGTGCAAATGTTTTATAATTTATTTTATAGGCTATCACTTGGGTATGATAACCAATTCTCTAACAAGAGTTATCTACCCCATTAATGTTTTCAGGTTTTTTAGGAAGCTGAGATAGTGTAGAAGCAGGAGGTATATGTAGTGTTGGTACAAGCAAATGTTAAGCTTCTCCTTTCCTACTTATATTCTTATTTAAAAGAATTTGGATAGGAAGCTATCAAGTTCTTCATGTAAACAAGGACAGATGATAGATGGGGAAAGAAAAATGTAGCATCTTTGACGTCCTATGATCAACATGCTAATTGGTTTCTAGATTCACCCTGCTCTTTCCCACCCTTGTCCTTGCTCCACCCACCACCACAGCTTTAGGAGTCTGCTGGAGAGTCAGAACAGGAAAAACAATTACTGTGTAGAGGATATAATGGGCTTGTAATTTGGTCTTTTTTCACCCTACTGCCCATTTTATGATAATAAGACACAGAAAACTTATGGCCTTTAATCAGTATGCTAGAAAATGTTTAACAGATAAAAATTACTCCTCGACTCAAAGTAAGAATTAAATTACTGCTTAATTTAACTGCTTCCCCAAAAGACTACATCTGGGGACAGAAAAGCAATGCTGAGAACATACCTTGTTGTGCTTTTTCTACATTATAATTGGCATCTTGGAGCAGTTTGGCAATCACAGATTCAATATCTTCACCTACATATCCAGCCTGAGTCAAAGTTGTACAGTCACAGATAGCAAATGGGACATCAAGGCATTTAGCTAGAGTTTGTGCCAGCAGAGTTTTACCTACAAACAGAAACAGTAGTAAAGAGTATACCAGTAATATGTTGGCAGGCCATTTATCTACAAAATGTAAAATAAACTATGAATAGTATATAATAAAAAATTACACTACACCTTTTCTCTACTATCACTCAGGTACTATCACTCAGGTACATTCTTTTTATTATTCCTGTAAAGCTGTTAGGGACTGACTTAAAGGTCAAGGTCAATGCTTCAAATTCACCTTGAAGCCTATGAAGAAACACTGATAATATACCCATAATTTTGACTTTAGATTTTTTTTTCCCTCAAGAGTCAGAATCCTCCAATCATAAGACATTGGTTATATAATCACTTATATTCTATTTTATGAAATACGTGGTAAATTATTCCAGGAAGTTATTTACCTGACCCAGTTGGTCCAAGCAGCAAAATATTACTCTTTTCAAGTTTTATATCATCATGGGAAGAATCCAATACTTCACCTCCTCGTTTTTCCTGAGGTATTTGTTGATTTATTTGTTGCTGCATTGATGCTCCTAAAGCATTACCATGTGGACTGATTCCAGCTATCTGAAGCAATTCTGAAAAATGCCAAAGGAATTATTAGAAGTTCATCTGATTTTACTTGACTAAATACCCAATAAAGCCCTGTATCTAAGATCAACCACGTATTTTTAAAATTTTAAGTAGCTTGACATACTGTCTTAAAGAGGAAGAAAACTTTAAATGTTCTCATGACAAATATACGATAGATAATGATTATTCAGGAAACCTCAAGCAATGGAAATGGACTCTTTTTACCATCCTTATTTATATAAATCTATATGAAGAATGCCCTTTCACCCAAAGGAAGACAATATAATGGAAGGAGAACGTTGTTATAAGACAAATTTTTAGTGTTCATCCATCTCTAAATAGATATATGATCTTGGACAAGTCATAAACTTTGTGTTTAAGTTTACAATAAGACATGTCATCAAAAAATATCGAATGGTTTCATTTATAGGAGGAATACAGGGGAACCAAATAAGGGACCAGGAAAAAAATAATAATAAATAAAAAGACAAAACTAGTAGGCAACTATAAATCAGAGACATTGTGCAGAGAGATTAAAACAGGGTGGGAAGAGCACAAGGGACAATGGTGATGGTTTACGGGTGACCTGGTGGTAGCAATTTTATGGGGACTACACCTGAGAGGAGAAATCAAACATTGTACAAAATGAACAATTATGTAAAAACACACACACACACAAACACACACATTTTTAAAAAAATATTTATATATCAAATTTCAAACACATGGTTGGAAGTTCTAAGAATAAATGAAAAGAAACAGGGCTTTTACCAAATACGGTTAAGACTCACTACCCCAGTGAAGGCAAAGATAAACAGCTGGGACTACATCAAATTAAAGAGCTTCTGCACAGCAAAAGAGACAATAACAAAAACAAAGAGAAACCCCACCAACTGGGAGAACACTTTTGCACACAACACTAATGATAAAGGACTGATCACAAAAATCTGCAAAGAGCTGATGAGACTCAACAGCAACAAAGAAAATAATCCAGTCAAAAAATGGGCAGAAGAGCTAAAAAGAAACTTCTCTGAAGAGGAAATGCAAATGGCCAACAGGCATATGAAAAAATGTTCAACATCACTTGTAATCAGGGAAATGCAAATCACAACTACCATGAGATACCATCTTACACCAGTGAGAATGGCACATATTAAAAAAACTAGCAACAACAAATGTTGGTGAGGGTGTGGAGAAAAAGGAACTCTTCTGCACTGTTGGTGGGAGTGCAAACTGGTCCAAGCACTATGGAGAGCTGTGTGGAGATTTCTGGACCTACTAAACATAGAGCTTCCATATGATCCAGCAATTCCACTCCTAGGTATTTACCCAAAGGACACAGAAACATCAATTCCAAAGAACACCTGCACCCCTATGTTTATAGCAGCACTATTTACAATAGCTAAGCTTTGGAAACAGCCCAAATGCCCAAAAATAGATGACTGGATCAAGAAGATGTGGTACATATATACCATGGAATATTACTCAGCATTCAAAAAAGATAAACACATGCAATTTGCAGCAACATGGATGGCGCTGGAAGGGATCATGCTCAGCGAAATAAGCCAGAAAGAAAAAGAAAAATACCGGATGGTCTCACTCATAGCAGGAATCTAGAAAACTTAAATAAGGGACCAGGAAAATGAATAACTATAAGAAAGTGAAAATCAAAATCAACAAAAATCTATGAACCAGAGACACTTTTGGGGGGGTGAGGGGTGGGAGGGGAGGGACTGGGGTCAAAATGGGGGGGTTGCAATTGTATGGGAAATATAAAAATAAAATTTATTATTTAAAAAAAAAAAAAGACTCACTATCCCTATATGAATCTCTGATTTTATAAGATCTCAACTAAATCTTTCTACTTCCTGTATTGAGGACAACTGGGTCCCTAAACACACACACACACACACACACACACACACACACACACACACATATCTTACATTCTCACTCTTTAGAAGGAAAGAATCCCAACAGGCTTTTCCATTACCCAGATTTGTATATATCCTCCTTTTCAGCAGGTATATGAAAATGGTATCTGTGCTTTTATCATACTAGTTTTTATTTTCTGATTTTAAGCTGTTTTTAATAAATGGATTAAGAATATCAGTACTTTCGATGCATTGTTATTATAAACAAACCAACAGACATAACTTTTTATGTTCCTAATCTATCTGGTGGCACTTTCAAGCTACCTTAGGTTCACACTAAAGGGTTATTATAATTCACCATAACTAACAGGTATTTAATAAACATTTGGATTTAATTAAGTTGTGCTATATTTGAGGGTTAATGACTAGTGAATAATTCACAATATGCTATGATTCATTACAATCCATATCAGGCAAGAAAATGCAATCTTAATACCAGTTCAGTTAGCTAGTTGTCCCTAATGTAATTGTGTTGTGTGTGTTTTTTTTTTTTTTTTAACTTCAGGAAATCTAGTTAGGGATTTTTGACAACATAGGAAGGGAGTTTGGTTCAAGTATAGGTCTGTCCAATGGAGGAAAAATTAATTAGGTTTAAACAAAACGGCAAGTACATAAATTATAGTGGAGTCACAAGGTACATGTATTTAACTTAATGATTTAAGAAAAAAAGGATGAATAACTTAAATAGTACAGAGTAGATGATGCTTGTCATTCCTGAAAATATACCCCATATAAATTGTCCTTTCAATTACTCTGTGTTCCCACATATCTCTCACTGCATAAGGCAGATCTCTATAATGAGAGGGACCATGAGTGTGCAGGTTAGTGCAGTGGTTAGTTGCATGGAGCTCATCAGCTATGCAGCCATGTGAAATGAGAGCAAAAACAGTAGTTTCAGTCTAACTGATTTTGGGAAGATTAAATAAGTTATAATTTATTATATGTTATTTAGAACAGCACTCAGCAAATAATTTTATAAGGCTTACAGAAGAATTTATAATTCTTAATAAATTTATAATTTATTTACTATTTATTTATTATAAATTTATTTATTATAAATAAATTTATAATTTATTTACTGTTGCTGTTTTCCTAGTGTTTAAGTATATATAAAACATAACATAGTCTTAGACGCAAGTCAACTATTTCATTTGGTGCTCAACTTAAGACAAACATTACGTACCAATGAAAGAAAAAAAAAAAACCACCTAAGCCCTATTAAGTATAGTATGTTTGGATTTAATCTTAATATGTGATTTCCAAAGGAACTTTCAAAATATTTTGATTAAATATGATCTTCATCTATTGCCCTAACTTGAATACCTCAAAACATACAGTTTTAGGATAAGATTAAATTGTATATGAAAATAAATTCTATTTACATTTTCAAAATATTAAATTTCCAAATCAATTTATAGAAATATAAATAGCTTTTATCTAAATTTAAAAACACTTGGTAACATTTAAGTTACATTAAATCACTACATATATATTTCTTTCAAAATATTCACTATAGATTTTTCTTTACTAATTCATACTAGTTTCACTAGCCATCTGCCCAAATTTATGAATATAATGTAGGCAGCATATTTGCTTATATTTTTGGATATAAAGTAATAAATTCATATACCTAAAACATATTACTTAGATCTTACATTCTTTTCTCTTTTTTTAAAGATTTATTTATTTATGCATACAAGAGCTGGGGTGTGGGGGGTAAAAGGATTCACCAGAGACAGAGTGGGGAGCAAAATAGGCAGATCTACTGAAATATGCTGCTAAGGGGAACAGTGGGCAAGACAGGTGAGGTCTGCTGCACCATGTGGGTTAGCTCCCTTGCTGGGGATTGAACTCATGCTGCAGTGACTGGCGATAGCCTTGATGGCGCTGAGACTTAACCCCTGCACCACTAGGGAGGCCCTTAGACCTTACATTCTTATATATAGTCTAATTCTATTGCATTTAGTTGTTTCTCAATTTTACCATGCAGAGCAAACCACTCTTTCTAGTTATTTAAAAATAACTAGAAATAATATAATTTTATTACACATCATAAAATACCATGGCAGAGCTGGTAAACTACTTATCTTCCCATGGCTAATCTTGTATATAGAGCACACTTCAAATAGATATGTAATATTGTTTGGCTGAAAAGCAAATGTAAAAGTACCAAACTAATCAGTGAGAAATGTTGATAGTGTTATCTATTGCTTTCTTCCGCTATTTTTTAATTACTGAAACAAAAGGCCACATGAATCTTTTCATGATACCCCTGGAGCCTTTATCCCCTGTGCAATAAGTATATCCGCTTCCAGAAGAATATATATATATATATATTTGTAAGCAAGATCATGAGTGGCCACTATCCTTGATGTATCAGGCCCTTCCATACCCTTCATCACACCATCTGAGATTTACAGGAGAAATCAAGGTTGGAAAAAATGAGTTAGGGCTTATTATAATTATAACCATTATTTGCAAGGCTATGTATGAGTTTTATAAACACCAAAAACAAACAGTGTGGTTTCACAAAGAGTAGCTAAAAGATAATTTGGTTCTGTCAAAGTTATAAGAAGGTCCTTATAAGAAGGTCAACTCTAATTTTATGGCCAAAAAAAGATAAAATACTAAAATACAGACTTTAAAAAATACAACTCATAGGCCTCCTTAGTGGTGCAAGGGGTTAAGACGCAACCTATGAAGATATCCACAGCCACTACAGCAAGAGTTCGATCCCCGGCCAGACAGCTACCCACATGGCGCAGCAGATCTCTCCTCACTTGCCCGCTGCTCACCTCAGCAGTGTATTTCAGTCAATCTGCCTATTCTGTTCTCTACTTTGTCTCTGGTGAATCCTCTCACCCCCAACACCTCTGGCCTGTACCCCAGATCTTGTATGCATAAGTAAATAAATCTTAAAAAATATATAACTCCTGTTAATATGAAGATCTGTATAAAGAATATATATATGTGTATATTCTATAAATAATAATTTTTTATCTCTATATCATGCTTTAAGAAATATCACAACAGAAAAGATAAACACCTGAAATAATTCTACATATATACAAACTACATAAAGTAGCTATGAAAAATTGTTCCAAAATTATATATACCATGTATAATAAATGTTTAGATAATACACAACATCTTTCTTGGTAATATATATACACAAGTATACACATGTTTACACATTTCTATTGCTGACATACTTCACTGAATTAAATCTCAAAAGGAAGAATGATTACAGAAGAAGACCTGAGAAGTCACTTACTTGTAAATCTGTATTCATCCTCCCGTCTTCTTATTTCTAACTCTAAGAAAGAAGATGAAAATATTACATATTTGTTTAGTTTAGGGGAACAAACAAGAAGAATCCTACTTCTTGCCCTTTTCCAAATATATTTAAAGAATATGTACAGTAACATTTTTCATTTTCTCATATTATAAAAGAATCTATATGCTACACCTTTCCTTTAAAAAAAATGCTATGATAGCTGTCCACTTGCTAATATTCATATCTGTCAAATACAAACTTGGTATCTATTTTAAGAAAAGAGTAGTAATAAGTTTTCAATAAGAGTCTTACACCCCTCATACTATCAAGACCATTTATTCATTTGCTTGTCCAGGGTCTAAAACAGCTTCACTATTGACTTGCTGACTGAAGAAACAAGGAAAAGTCATTTTGCTTCATAACTAGACAGTGCTATTTGGACCTTATAAAAATGAAGGTTCCAAGTCTCCCATTAGTTATGACTTACACTTTCTAAAAATAAAGTAACTGATACTACTACATAACTTTTGCAGTATGTTCAACAAGTGAACAAGTCTCTTCATTGAATCAATCACATATTTTGTAGATTACTAACAGTAATCAAAATATATTCTAGTTCTATATTCAGCATAACTCCCTCAAACTGTAAAACAATCATTAAAACAACATAAAATAATAGGTTGTTGGCCTAAGTTAGAAACCAGGGCTCCCTGCTAACAAAATAAAAACTTAAAATATTTATATTTTATAATAACAGTACAAAACACAATAAGCAAAAACAGACAATTATAAATCAGAGACATACTGCAGGGGAGGAGGAGGGAGAGGGATTAGAGGGAGGGAGGGAGGTGCACAGGGGACTGTGGTGATGGTGCATGGGTACCTTGGGGAAGGAAACTCTATGGGGACTCAATCTGAGGGGGTGGAGGGAAGCAAATATTGTATAAATAAATAAATAAAAGAATAAGAAAAAAGAAAATAAAATATTTATATTTTACTCTGTTCATTGTCTTTGTAAAATCTTTCTATCAATATACCGCGCATTATTGTCCACAGTAAGTGGAGATTACATAGCATATATTATGATCTATCACTGACAGGAATTTTATTTTGAATCACAAATTTGCCCTTAACCTTGCACTTGGTAGCTGGAGCCCAAAGAGGTGCTAGATATATTCTGTAAGAGTTATCAACTTTCTTGGGCCTCCCTGGTGGCACAGCAGTTGAGCGTTGGGTTGCGAAGCTGCCCGCAGCCTCCGCAGCACTGGTTCGATCCCTGGCCACCGGGCCAGGGTCCCACATGGCATGCAGACCTCCCCTGCCGGCTGCTGCTCCCCTCAGCAGTGTACTTCGTCCCTCTGCCTGTTCTGCTCCCTGCTCTGGCTCTGGTGAATTCTCTCACCCTCCCGCGCTACTGACTGTACCCAGTGCTTATATAAAAACGGAAGGAAGGAAGGAAGGAAGGAAGAGAGGGAGGGAAGGGGGGGAGGGAGAGGGAGGGAGGGAGGGAGGAAGGGAGGGAGGGAGGGTTATCAACTCTCTATATCTCTGACTTAGCAAATGAAATTCTGTATCCTGAACCCAAAAGAGAAGAACTCAAGAGTGGTAGAGAGTATTACAATGACCCAGTGTTAGCAAACTAGCTGTGCTGAAGTTTACAACTCAAAGATGATGTCTCACCCTCAGTGACTTTCCAACATTTTTCACTGAGACTCTTTGGTTAGAAACACATTTGATTCTCAGAACTCATGTACATATAACTGAAAACAAAAGTTTTAAGAAATTATACTTAACTACAAGCAAATATACATTTATATTTTCTATTCACATCTATTAACTTTTTTTAAAAAATGCTGCAATGAACTGTCAAAACCATTTCTTTGAAAAGTGCTGTATTATACTAAAAACATTTTAAGACAAAAAAAAATCAAGGAGTTAAAAATAACAATTACCTCTAATCATAACAGTATCTATTTTGGTCTATTATCAAAACACTAACCTCTAGGTGTTAATGATGTCTGCTTCTCAACCTCTGCTTGCTGTCTCAGATTAGCCGGGATATTATTATATATTCTCTTATAATGATTGTACACAGCAACCGAAAGCACCTTCTTAGCAAATGACTGGCCAACAACATACTTGTCGAGGTAGTTATAAATCTGAAAGATGATTAGGTATGAATCATTTACTATGAGCTATCATAAAGACACACATTAAAAAGTTATATAGTGAGCCCATTTGCTCATAGTTTTAAATATGAACAAAGATGAGATCAAAAATGTATGTAGCAATGACTTGGAGGTCCCAAACCCTAAATGAACAAAAACACAATTCATTTGTTCTCTAGCTTAGCAAAGTATCACTGTACTCTGCTAGTGCTACGCTAGTATCTAATCTATAAACAATGCTATTGACCCTAATGTTTAAAAGTTAACATTAAAGTTACTTAGAATACTACACATGTCACCATGGGTCTAAAGATACCACCTTTAAGTAAATCATTACAATAAATCCTTTCTACACCTTTGTCTATCAAATGAATAATATTCTTCACAAAGAAAACTTATTATAAAATTACCCTTTTCAAAAATCAGGCATTACAGAATCAAAAGCCATTGTATTAATAGTACCTATGTGTTTTAATATTGGCAAACATTTCATTTTTTTGCAGACATTGGCTTTAATGCTGTTCATTTATCTAAATGGTAATCTAAAAGCTTTATTCTTAGTAGAAACTAAAGTTCTATTGGATACTTAGATATTGCCAACAGCTTGGACCCTGGGATAAATTCCTTCTACTTTCAGTAGATTAAATTAAGTGTTAGTATTCCCTAACTCCTGAAATAGTTACATTGCCTATTTATTTTCTAGAACACTGAGTCAGACATCTAGAGTCTACACAAATTAGTGGCGAATATAAAGCTTAATATACTCTATTTTCCATTACATTATTTATTTTTACATGACAAATTCTTTAGTTGTTGACCATATATATTTTACTGTGGTTTTTAAAAAATATTTATGTTTCACAAATTATACCCATAAATTATTAAATTGGCCACAGATCACTTACAGGTAGAGATAAATGCACTGGTATCTAAAATACAATAGAAGCTACACTGGCATAGTGTGAAAAATAATCTAAGTGAGCAAAAGACTCACCGGACATGGCCAAAACAGAGGGCATCAGCCCAGGGGCAGGGCCTCCCATCTCAGAAAGCACACACCAAGTACCCAGTGTTGTACTCTGTTGTGTTTCATAAAGTTAAAATACAACTGTACTACAAATGCCACAGTGCTATCTATATATGAGGACCCTAACATAGTGGTCATAAAAAAATTATTTGTTTCCACTGTTAGATTTAGGCTGTTTTATCACAAAGTAGACTCATTTAAAGGGGGAAGTTGCACACTAGTCTTATTTAGTGGCCCAAACTAAAAATAAATCTATAGCTGCTCTATTTTAAGGATATCACTTTAGATTAATATTCACACTACTTTAATAATCACTCAGCTATATTTTACTGTTCCTCAATGCAGTAATCATGACATGGGGAAAGAGCAATGGATTCCATACTAAATTCCAAGTATCAAATACCGATGACAATTAAGCCAGATAGAGTCCATACTAAGAATTTAAAGGACTTAACTAGACAGTAGCATTAGGATTCAATATAAAGTGGAGAGAGGGGAGCAATGAAATGTTTTCAAGATAAACTGCTTATAAGACTGAATCAAGACCTATACCTTCTTGGGAGGAGGAGGTGGTTTCTGTTGGAATGCCAATTTTACAGCTTCTGCTGCTGATTCGGGTTCTTTAATTATGCTTTTCTTTGAGTCGGCTTCAGATAGCACAACAAAAAAGTGATGGCATTTTTCACACTTCACAAAACGGGTGGATGCTGTAAAAGAAAAGAAAGATCAGCAGAAAAAAACAAAATAAATAACTGAAATAGTGTTTTACCTTAAAGACTCACTGTAAATGGTAACTATGTACTTGACAAAAAGTAGACTTGTAGTTCACTCCACTAGCCCAACAAACAGCTTAGTTTTCACCTAAGATAGAGATAAAGACAGATGAGTTCAGTAAACTATAGTTCATTTCCACCAGGCACTTTCATTTTGTGTACACTTCATTAAGAGAAAAGATTAGCTGAGATTCTTTCAACTTCTCACTCACTAAAGTCAATTTTCAAAAACATAACTATAAGAACATTAAGTAATGTTATTTCATGAAATGCTGAATAAACTGGGGAAAAGGTAACTTAACCTATTTTTCCAATATTTTATTGTTGCAAGTTTAGTATGTCCTGAGACCAATTCCCAACATGTGTGGAGGTGCTAAGGTTTCCTCACATCAACAAGCAAGTCTCAACTCATTTCACTTCAAACACTATCTACCTGGAGATTGCATCAAGTTCCACTAGTAAAGGGGTCAGTCTCTTGAGACCATCCTCCACCTCAGAGGCCAGTTGAAAGCTGCAGGCAAGCCCCACAGGGATATCTGGGATTCTAATCAACCAGCTACAGACTGGAGAGTCCCATGACCCTCTCAGACTTAAGGTGCCCATTGCACATCCGTATTATTATTTATGCTCCCAACCAATTGGCTAGTCCATCCTCAGGTTCAATTATTTTGCTAGAATGGCACATAGCACTCTGGAAACCCACTTATACTAACTAGATCACCAATTTATTATAAAGGATACTAATCAACAGCCAGATGGGAGAGATGCACAAGATATGAAAAGGTGAGGACCTTGCATGCCCTCTCCAGGCATGACATTCTCCCCCAAATCTTCACGTTAACCAACGTGGAAGCTCTCTGAAGCTCCCTCCTCTTGAGTTATTATGGAGCCTTCATGATACAGGCATGGCTAAAGAATTCATTGGCCATTGGTGATTGAACTCCAGCTCTAGCCCCATTACCTCACTGGAGATCTGGGAGTATGGGACTGGATCTTACAACTTGTTCTCACATTAGTTTCCCTGGCAACCAACCCCCTTCTTTAGAAGGAGTCACTTTATTAACATAGCAAAAGATACCTCTAACACCCTCAACATTTGGGAAAGTCCAAGGTTTTATAGGAAGCTCTAAAACAGAAATTGTAGAAGACCAAATATGCTTGAGAAATATATTTTGGTCATTTGAATTACCAAATACACACACAGACACAAACATACATTTTCTTTCCTGTAAAACACAATTATCATAATTATGAAAAATTTCAAACATATACAAATGTTGTAAGAAATAAATCAATTTTAATCCATGAAAATATGAAAATGTATATCCCTAGGTACTTTTCAAACCTGTGAGCATTTTTAAAATCTTGAGTTGGTAAATATATAAAATTATTTCATCCTTCTTTAGATTCCTCTTTACTCCACTAATTCCTATTTCTTAACCCTAAAAGTCAGTAAGAAACTAACAAAATAACAACTTTCTCGACCATACTGACTTAATTCAAAGATAATCATACAGCTTTTGAAAACAACACAATGGCATTTAAATGTAAGAATAAAAAGAGTTTGTTAATTACAAAGCCTCATGTGAGGTGATTTTGTAAATGCCAAGTTGGGTGTTTCGCTCATGCCCAAAAAGTCAAACTGAAGCACAAGAAATGTCTTTACAAGGAAGAGTTTATTTGAAATGCCCATCAAAAGAGTCATGGGGATAGTCACCCCAAAAACCCCAGTTCTCCCAATGGAGAGAATGCTGGGATTATATAAGGCGGAAGGAATGTGAGAAGTACAGGGGTCCACATTTCCAGATCCATGGAGGTGCTGGGCCGTCTAAGTGACACGAGTCAAGGTGTTTGACTTTCCCAGCTTAGTGTTTTCTCAGCGATCAACACGTTTGTTTCTGATGCCACTATCAACCCCAGAGGGACACAGAGAACTTTGTTAGAGATGTAACACACTCAGTGTCCCAAGTTCCAAGGAACACAGGCTGAAGCCAGTTAATCACAAATAGAGGGAAGAGAGAACAAATAGGGATTAGAGTTTAATTCCACTTATTCCTCATTTTTAATCTAGAGGAGCTTTTTTTGTTGTTGCAAAATGGATGGGATATAGCTGCAATTTCTTCTTTTCTCTCTGTGAAACATATCTCTAACAGACTTATACTTTTAACCTTCTCTTAAGTACTAGCCTTATTCAAGGTACACAGGGATTTCAGAAAGCAGCATAGTAGACAATTCCATATATACTCTGAATAGATAACAGAGCAAAAGATACAAAAGAATCAGTTACATGTTGGTAGGTCTAGGTAATACATTCTTGTGTTATTTTTGTGTAATCTAACCAGACAGATAAAGCTGAAAAGAAAAATAAAGTTTTAAACTATGGTAATATCTCTTTTATTAGAATATAAAACTACCTATGCATGGATTACATAAATGGTTTTGATATCTAAATCTTCACAGAATAATCTATACATTAAAAAAATACCACCAGACAATTCCACATTCAAAAAATAAATCTAATCATTAATTCAGTCAATTTAATTCTCATGTGTTGATTCTTAAACACAAGACAAACCAAAAATACATTCTGGAGAGCAAATTTTTTTAAACTAGGAGAGATTTTAAACTAGGAGAGATCACCCATGTTTCCATTCATTGATCTATGTTTACCTAAAGAAAAAGATAAAGCTATTCCAAGTACCTTTGATTAACACAAACCCAAATACATTATCAACACCATTGACCATCAGTGGGAAAGATAGTTGATTTCTTTATTTTCTATTTCAGCATCAGCATACAAGTGTTACTGATGGTGAACAAGGAAAGGATTATAGGGCAGAGAGGCCTCTGATCTAATTTGGGCATTGTGACAGGAAAATCTGGCCTGAGAACTCAAGGACAAAATATTTCTCTAAAGAAATTAGGTCAAAGGGAAAGAAATCAAACACCATCAAATCACATCCCTCTCTGGTTACTGTTGAAGGAATGCTTAAATTCCACTTGAATATTGCAATGCAATTTTATACTGAAACATGTTCAATATATATCTAAGGTCAAAGATTCAATTTTATTTATCAAAATGCTTTTCCAGAAAAAAAATACAAATGCTACAATGCATATATTTGACCCTAGATATAAAGCAAAAATCTAATTGTATTAAATTATTAGGGATTAGATCTTTCCCTTAAATGATTACTACAAGGATTGTATGTTCACATGCAGAATACTGCTTTCAGTAAACATGCTCATATAGTATGATTAACAAACACTATGTGGAATTAATAATCATAATGAAAAGATTGTATGTTAAATCTTTTTCAGATTTGTTTAAATGCAAGCTTTTCATGTCAACTATTGCAGAAATGCTTAATTCCCACCCCAAGAGACACACAGGTACAACAAATCTTCAAAAAGTAGTATATACATAAAAATAAAAACGACTCTATCTTAAATACAAGTGGGGAGACTATTCATGTTTGACAAGTTATTTTTTAAATGGGTAAAAGAAAAATAAAGAATAGTATATATTAGTTCTTTTAATAAGATTCTAAGATACTAATCTTTCAATTCCTGATGATTTTCTTTATGAACATGATGGTATCTATAGATAAAGTATTTTACTTCCATAAACTCAAGTAACAAAACCTATTTTAATATCACAATTAACAAGATAAAAAAATCCCTACAAATATGCTTGCAAGATAGTATATATATATACAGCAAGGTCTATGACTAAGAATAGCTTTCACATTTTTAAATAGTTGGGGGGAAAATGACCATTAAAAGTTATATGAAATTCAAATGTCAGTGCCCACATACACAAATTTATTTGAATGTAGTCATCCTCCTATATTTATATTGTCTATGGCTGCTTTCCCACTATAACCACAAAGGAGAATATAGTAGTTCCCTCTTAATCTATGGAGAGTAAGTTCCAAGACCCGCAGAGAATGTCTGAAACTTCAAATAGCACCTATGTATACTATGTTTTTTCCCATATATACATACCTATGATAAAGTTTAATTCATAAATTAGGCATAGTAATAAACAAGTTTTGAACTTTTAAAATGTAACAATTATATTTTATTTTTTTATTTTATTTTATATATTCTTTTTTTTTTTTTTTTTTTTTTTTTATTTTTTTTTTAAATTTTTTTTTAAGATTTATTTATTTATTTATACAAGCACTGGGTACAGTCAGAAGCGCGGGAGGGTGAGAGAATTCACCAGAGCCAGAGCGGGGAGCAGAGCAGGCAGAAGGACCGAAGGACACTGCTGAGGGGAGCAGCGGGCGGCAGGAGAGGTCTGCACGCCATGTGGGATCCTCCGCCGGTGGCCGGGGAGCAGCCGGGGATCGAACCGGCGCTGCAGAGGCTGCGGGCAGCTTCGCAACCCAGCGCTCAACCACTGCGCCACCGGGGAGGCCCTATTTTATATAATTCTTACATCATTTTTCATCTTTGCATAATGTATGCATTTTCATTTTGGTTATATTCCCCATACAATTGCACCCCCCCCTTATTTTGACTCTAGTCCTTCCTCTCCCCGCCCCCCCCCCATAGTGTGTCTCTGGTTTATAGTTGCTTGTTGATTTTGATTTTTGCTTTGTATTGATTAGTCTTTTTCCTGGTCTCTTATTTAGGTTTTCTAAATTCCTGCTATGAGTGAGACCATTCGGTATTTTTCTTTTTCTTTCTGACTTACTTCGCTAAGCATGATCCCTTCTAGCTCCATTCATGTTGCTGCAAACTGCATGTGTTTATCTATTTTGATTGCTGAGTAATATTCCATGGTGTATATGTACCACATATTCTTGATCCAGTCATCTATTTTTGGGCATTTGGGTTGTTTCCATAGCTTAGCTATTGTAAATAGTGCTCCTATAAACACAGGCGAGCAGGTGCCCTTTGGAATTAATATTTCTGTGTCCTTTGGGTAAATACCTAGGAGTGGAATTGCTGGATCATATGGAAGCTCTATGTTTAGTAGGTCAAGAAATCTCTATGCAGCTCTCCATCATGTTTGGACCAGTTTGCACTCCCACCAGCAGTGCAAGAGAGTTCCTTTTTCTCCACAACCTTGCCAACATTTGTTGTTGCTAGTTTTTTTAATATGTGCCATTCTCACTGGTGTAAGATGGTATCTCTTTGTAGTTTTGATTTGCATTTCCCTGGTTACAAGTGATGTTGAACATTTTTTCATATGCCTGTTGGCCATTTGCATATAATAATATATTTTAATAAAAGTTTTGTGAATGTGACCTCTCTCAAAATATCATTATTGTATATAACAATTTTGGACTGTGTTTGACCACAGGTAACTGAAATCACAGATAAAGGGAGACTACTATAGTTGTAATAAAGAGACCACAAGGTCCACAGGCTAAAATACTTACTATTTGATACTTTGATATAAAATACTTACTATTTTACTTTTATAGTAAAAATTTGCTGAATCTTGCTATCTAGCATTAAAAGGAAAGAACACAGAATGAGAAAATATTTGCAAATCATTTGTCTGGATAAAGGTCTAGTATTCAGAATATATAAAGAACTGTTAGGATGATAGAAAAAAAATAACTCAACAAAGGACAAAGTAGTGTTTTCTTCAAAGGATCTATATAAATGACCAATAAGCACATGAAAGGATATTTCATATCTTTAATCTTTAGGGAAAGGTAAGACAAAAATCACAATGAGACATCTCTATGATGGCTACAATAAAAAAAGGTAAATTTTGAAGAGGATGTGGATAAATTGGAATCCTTATACATTGCTACTTGGGTTGTAATATGGTATAGGCTCTGTGGGTAAGTTTGGCAGTTCCTTAAAGAGATAAACAGTATCCTTTTCCCCAGCAATTCCATTCCTGAACATAAATCCAAGAGAAGTAAAAAAAACACAACTACATAAAAACTTAGACACAAATGTTCAATAGCAGAATTCAAAATAGTCAACAAACAGAAACAACTCAAATAACCTCCAACTGATGAATAAACAATGGAAAACTACTCAGTCAGTTTTATTATACTGATATATAATAAAACACCACATGAACCCTGAAAACATGCAAAGTGAAAGAAGGCACACACAAAAATGCTTCATATTGTATAACTATTTTTATATGAAATATCCAACATAGACAAATCTATAAAGAGTGAGTAGGCTGTTGCCCAGGCCAAGAGGGAAAGGGTAAACAGTGTCTGTTAAGGAAAGTGAGTTTCTTTTGGCGGTAACAGAAGTTCTTCTAGAATTAGATAGTGGTGATAACTGTACAATTTGGTGAATATACTAAAAACCAAAGAAATGTACACTTTAGGTGGGTGATTGTATGGTATGTGAATATCTCTTTAATGAAAAAACTTGTAAATGAAAAAAAAATAAGGGGACTCGCTGGTGGCACAAGGGGTTAAGTCTCAGCACTATGAAGCTATGGGCAGCCACTGAAGCATGAGTTCAATCCCTGGCCAGGGAGCTGACGCACATGGCGCAGCAGACCTCTTCTGTCTCACCTGTTGCTCCCCTCAGCAATGTATTTCAGTCAGTCCACCTATTCTGCTTCCCATATTGTCTCTGGTGAATCTTCTCACCCCCTTCCCTGCACCTCTGGCCTACACCCCAGCACTTGCATGCATAAATATTTTTTTAAAAAATGAAAGGACTAGACATGTATGTATTTACATAACTCTCAAAACATTGTTGAATGAGGAAAAAAAGCAATTTGCAAAAACACAAATATACCATTTATGCTTTTTGAGAATAGTATGGTTGATGAAGATTTATTATAGAAAAATATCTTTTATCTGTAATGTTGAACTTTTTTAATAAAGGGGGATGGAGAGATATATATAACCTAAACAGGCCATTCATGAAAGAACTACAAATGACCAAAATATAGATCAAAAGGGGCCTCCCTGATGGTGCAAGGTGTTAAGTCTCAGAACTATGAAGCTACAGGCAGCCACTGCAGTACAAATTCAATCCCCGGCCAAGGAGCTGACCCACATGGCGCAGCAGACCTCTCCTGTCTCATCTGCTGCTCCCCTAGCAGTGTGTTTCAGTCAATCTGACTGTACTGCTCCCTACTCAGTCTCTGGTGAATCCTCTCACCCTCCACCCCCTGCACCTCTGGCCTAAACCCCAGTTCTTGTATGCATAAATAAATCTTAAAAAAAAAAAAAAGTTATATCATCCAGATCTAACACTTTCAACTTATGTTGAGATCCATCTTAATATTCATTCAAACTGATTCCTCTATTTGATTAAGTGCTAGGCAAAACCACAGAGAGAACCTCTAACATTGCAGTTACAGAAAGGAGTTACTTTAAAAATCTTTCCGAAACTGTGAAAACATACCAGATGTATTATTTTTTCATATAGTGGCCAATTAATAGCAATGATAAATGTAAAACTGTAAGTCAAGTCTCAGTATTTGGGTTAGAATATAGAAAATCCTCTCCACCTCATAATCAGAAACTGAAAGAGGACTTAACTCCTCTGGAAATTACTTAGGGAAAAACTTTAATATTTGAATGACTCATCTCCATAACTGTATGAAGTGCTCAAATATCTGAAGAATGGAATAATAAATACAGAATGAGCCTGGTTCTTCTCCAGCTTAATGGCCACATACAAAAAAACTTCTAACATCCAAATTTGAAACAAACACACACAAAAGCAAAAGAAAGAAGCAAACAGTTTTCTTAAATTATCTTTTTTTTTAACCACAGTACAAAGTATTAACCATTCCTGAGGACTTTTAGTATTTGATGAACATAAGAAAGAATCCTGTAAGCTAAGGGAAAAAAATAACTCTAGTTACAAAGTTTATATATTTCTATATAGTTAATGATTTACAGATAAGGGAGGGAAAAAGAAGAACCATAGAAGAAGTAAAACTTACACACAAAAGTCTCTACATGGGTGCACAAGTCGCCACATTTAGGACAGCGCAGCTGGTTTCCACCTTTCCCAGAATTCCCAGAGCCAGATTTCTTACTGCTTCCCTCACTCACTGATTTCTGATATATATGAAGGAGAAAAAGAATGTGAATTATTACTTCCAGGCAACCTTTTCAAATGTAACTTAAATATGAACAATATAGTTTATAATTAATCTATAACTTTTACAATTTCTAGAGTGTAATTATTAGTATAATTTATATCTCTACTGTCACTGGTGTCCAAAGATACATTTACCACTAAGATAAAATCAATTTCCATAAACACATTTATCTGCATTCCTTCTTCACATAGTATGTGTAATAAATATCTTTCTTTCAATGACTCAATAAGCACTAGGAAAAAATGACATAAGTAAAGCCATTTTCAAATGGGACCAGGGTGGACAATGCAGACAAACCATTTCACTGCTACTTTAAACTGCCAGACCCTTGGACTGGGTCAAACCACCGACATTCCAAGAGACAACATGAGGGAAAATACCTTATTTGAAAGGACTGATAAAAGTAAACTTTTACCTACTTTTACTTTGTCCTTTCTACCTGACAATTTTTACCTATAACTCCTCCATCTGACCATTACCTCATCCTTTTTCTCTCTTAAAAAAAAAAAAAGAAACTTTGTCCTTCCTTCAGACATGTTTTAATTTTTGCCTAAATCTGTGTGCCTTGAATTGTAATTCTCTGCTTTTGCCAAATACAGTCAACCCTCAGAGATATTCGGGGTTCAGTTTTAGAAAACTGCAACAACAGGTATATCAGAATAAAACAAGTCACACAAATTTTTAGCTTCCTAATATATGTGCAAGTTATGTTTACACTATAGTCTATTAAGTATGCAATAGTATTATGTCAAAAAGAAAACCTAAATGCATGTACCTTTAAAAAATACTTATTTGCTAAAAAATGCTAACCACCACCTGAGCATTCAGAAAGTCAAAATAATTTTTTTGCCAGTGGAAGGTATTGTAATAACTGGCAATATCTGGGAGGTGCAATAAAGCAATTTGCAATAAAACAAGGTATACATGTGTATCGATTTTTGCTTGCCACTAATTGCTGTTCTCTTATTGAAGGTTAACAGATACTAGAAGTGAAAAATTAGATTTCAATGAAACTGAATCAGGAATTATCATGACTAGCAGTCACCTATCTTTTTTGATATAATTTTTCTCATCTCTAAAATGGGGATAATTTCACTTACGTCAGAAAGTCATTGTTAGGATTAACTATGAATATAAAAACACCTAGCACTTTGTTTTGCACATAATATTAATATAAATGTTAGTTAAATTCACACTAAAAAAAATGTTAATTATCTTTTTTTTTTAAAGATTTATTTATTTACACAAGCACTGGAGGATGAGAGAATTCACCAGAGCCAGAGCGAGGAACGGAACAGGCAGACCAATGAAATACACTGCTGAGGGGAGCAGCGGGTGGCAGGAGAGATCTGCGCACCATGAGGGACCCTCGCCCCGCGGGGATCGAACCAGCGCTGCAGAGGCTGCGGGCAGCCTCGCAACCCAGCGCTCAACCGCTGCACCACCGGGGAGGCCCAAAAAATGTTATAATTATCTTACTGACCCAACACAACACCAATCATTTACTTGCTAGCCACAGAGTAGCCCAATGTTAGGTCATACAGATATCCAAGATTTTTAGAGTATAAGTAAGGTTTATACTATCATGAATTGTTAAGAGTTGTGTGAAAGTAAGAAATGATGGCTATTCCTAATTTAACTCTAAGCAATGACTACATAGATTATTTAGTGATGCTTCTTTATTACTTTGGGGACTTACTGCTTACTGAGTATAATTTTTTGGGGCCTCCCTGGTGGCGCACGGGTTAAACACAGCGCTATCAAGTTATTGCCAGCAACTATAGCAGGAGTTCGATCATGGTAGCCAGGGAGCTAACCCATATGGCACAGCAGACCTCTCCGGTCTCACCAGCTGCTCCCCTCACCAGTGTATTTCAGTGCAGCTGCCTGTTGTACTCCCCACTCTCTCTGGTGAATCCTCTCACCCCTGCACCTCTGGCTTACACCCCAGTTCTTGTATGCATAAATAAACCTTTAAAAATAAATAAATATTTTATGGTTCAAACTGAAACACAAAATAAAATTACCTAAAATTCTTTGTATCATTTTACATATTTCATATTTCCTACAGTGTAAAACATATAAATCAATGGAATACACAGAACGATTTCACATTTGTTTAAAGGAAGAAACTCAAATAGTGCAGAGATGCCAATAAAGATAAAATTATTACCTTATTTCCATCTCCAGAGCCATCTTTACTTATCCCATCTTTTGAGGCAAAATATGCTGGTGTTTCTGTAAAAGTTCTAAAAGGAGCTCTTCGTAGGATCTGAGTTTCAAAGGTCCCAAGTCTTCCTAAAACTGGTATTTGAATGCGACCACAAGAAATACCTGAAAATTTAATTAAATTTATTGAAAGTTAACACTTAAATAAACAAAAGAAACTTGATTTTTGCCTCCCACATTTTATTCCCTCCAAAATTCTCAACTCAGGCTTTTATTCTATACCTGTTCAGCACTTTTAAGAGATCATACATGCAATATACAAATACAACACTAAAAACTCAAATGCAATAACTAATTTATAATAGTGTCCTTCAAATAATTTTTAAAATATCTTTTAAATAATATAAATGACTGGTTTTTTTATTAACTCCAATTTTCCAACACACTTGTGTGCACTGTTAGAACGGCTAGTCTCTGTAGTTATTTATCATCCTAAGTTATCTTGAGTTCCACTAAATACAAAAATGAATCCACCCAACTTCTCAGGAAAGATACAAATAAAAACTTTCTCATCTCTATATAAAATTTATAAATTCCAAAAAAAGAATTAAGATTCATGACATCTCAGGCCCTAATCCAATTTTGTTTAAAAGTTTTGGTTTTTTTTTAAGACTTATTTATCTATGCATACAAGAACTGGGGTGTACAGCAGAGGTGCGGGGGATGAGAGGATTCACCAGAGAGAGTGGGGAGCAGAACAGGCAGATCTACTGGAATACACTGCTGAGAGGAGCAGCGGGTGAGACAGGAGAGGTTTGCTGCACCATGTGGGTTGCTCCCTGGCCAGCAGGGATTGAACTCTGCAGTGGCTAGCAATAGCTTGACAGTGCTGTCTTTAACCCCTGTACCACCAGGGAGGCCCAAGTTTTTTTTAAAATCTAAAATTTTATGGCCTACAAAATTTTCCAACACTATTAAACTTGAATAGGAAAAAAATAAAGTACACATTTGATGTTAGTTCTAAGCAATGTTTTCAAAAGACATTTCAAAATTTTAAAAGTAACTTTTCCAGTTTTTGCAGTAACTGATAGCCATTACTCTCATTTGCATGAGATTTAAGGTAGTTATTGATTTTAAGCTAAATATTAATGCTGTTCCAAAAACATAATATGATTTAAAGACTGTCAACCTAAAAAGCAAGCCTAGAAAAAGTTAATGGGGGAAGGGGATAAATGAAATCAAGAATGGAAAATGTCAGTGTACACTGAGGCTGGTGTGATAGGTATTTTGGGGGTTCAGTGTTCTACTTCATTGTGTTTGAAAAAGGTTCATAACAATACATTAAAAATGTATTGTTATAATAAAATAATCTATTATTTAATCTATGTAACAAATATAACTTTTTCATTGAACCATTAAGATGTATTCAGAGAGAAAACTACAATTATAACAAGATTTATGATGTGAAGCTATCATATCTTGATGCTTAGCATAAAATTTAACCCTGAAATATACAGTATATAATGTCTATTTACAATTAAATACATCTTTCAAACAGTGTTTTAACAATTTACAATATCTGGGCCTCCCCGGTGGCGCAGCGGTTGAGCGCTGGGTTGCGAAGCTGCCCGCGGCCTCTGCGGCGCCGGTTCGATCCCCGGCTGCTCCCCGGCCACCGGAGGAGGGTCCCACATGGCGTGCAGACTTCTCCTGCCGCCCGCTGCTCCCCTCAGCAGTGTACTTCGGTCCTTCTGCCTGCTCTGCTCCCCGCTCTGGCTCTGGTGAATTCTCTCACCCTCCCGCGCTTCTGACTGTACCCAGTGCATGTATAAACAAAACAAACAAACCAGCAAACAAATAAATAAAGCATGCCTCTAAAAAAAAAAAAAAAAAAAAAAAAACCAATTTACAATATCTAATGCTAGAGCCTCCCTGGTGGCGCAAGCGGTTAAGACGCAACCTATGACTTACAGCCGCCACTGCAGCACAAGTTCGATCCCCGGCCAGGAAGCAACCCACATTGCACAGCAGACCTCTCCTGACTTGCCCACTGCTCCCCTCAACAATGTATTTCAGTCAATATGCCTGTATTGTTCCCCTCTGTCTCTGGTGAATCCTCTCACCCCTCACACCTCTGGCCTATACCCCAGTTCTTGTATGCATAAATAAATCTTTTTAAAAAAATCTAATGCTATTAAAAAATATGCTAAAAGGGAATTATCTGAATTTAAGGAAAATTAAAATTATGAACATACATAATCCTTTTAAAGTCTTCTTGAATAGAAAAATAAATCCCTCATCTTATCAAGTAAGATAAGAAACCAATCATACAATCACCACAGAGAATATTATCTGAAAGACTAGGTATGGTATTGTATTTCTATTTTGACATTCTGTAATCTATGGGCTATAATCTATAGGCTATTATACCAAAAAGATATCTTAAATGCTAAACCTATTGCTTAAACTTGAGCATGTATCAGAAAGCTCATTAGAAACGAAATGCAGGGCTCTTCCCTGGTTCTGATTTAGGTAGGATGCAGGACCCAAGAAAGCGTTTTGAAGAAGTTCCCAGCTGATGGTGATGTTGCCAGTCTGAAGACCACATATCTTAAATCACTGTACTAAAGAATTCCAATGACCACTCACTCAATAACAATATAAAATCCACACTGAAATAACTGCAGCAAACTAATCAGGAGTTTTTCATTGTTTTTGTGCCATGAACCCTTCTGGCACCCTTCTGGCATTCTGGTAGAGCCTATGGATAGATCCTTCCTCAGAATGCCGTTTAAAGTATAGAATAAAATACATAACAAAGGAAACAAATTTACTTAAGTAGTTATCAAAATTTTTTTAAATATGCTTCTTTACCAACAAACAAAACTAAGTAAGATTTAGTAACTCTAAAAAATATCATGACTTCAAAATAATGAAAAGTATAAACAATATTTTGAGGTATCAGCAACTGAACTGTGATATAAAAATATATGCGCCTTTGGTAACAAACTCATAGATACTCTAATACTACTGAAACTTGTTGCCTACATTCAAACTTAAAGGAAATCTTTTATTTCACCTAGAGATTATGAAAATAAAGTTCACACAGAACTTATGAATTCCATTCCTTGACCCTTTAGAGGCCTGTGAACTCTAGGTGAAAAACTGCCAACAGTCAAAATAAGAAGTATTTCTGTAAAGTGTATTTCGAAAGACTACTTGGCAGCAACAAATGAAGACAGTTAAAAGTTAAACCATTTATAAAACTTGTCACATACAGAAAAAGCTTCCTGAGTTTCAGAGCCATTTCTAAAAAGAAATATGAAAATAAGTACATGTCCACAAATAACGTCAATTTTTTTCATACTAGCTAGGATTTTCTTCTCATCAACATCAATGAAATGATGTAAAATAAAATATTATCGGAGGACCTGTTTTCATTGTCCTTTGGCTTAAAATTAATTTGCTAGAATTTAATGACAACAGTAAGTGACTGCTCATTGTACATCAATTTTAGGGCTATTAATATGTAGAAGAGTAGTTTATTCAATTTTTAAATATTTGACAGCCTATATTCAATCTTGAATCAAGCATTCTCCAAAAATATACAAATGACTCAGCTTAAATTGATTTTTTATAGTTTAGATCGTGAAAAATACTAAAGAAAAATTAATATCTTTATGTAGTACAAAATATAAGTAACAACTGATGAAGAGGCAAGTGCCTAAATACTTGGTCACTATGCTCTAATACAAATTGGAAACAAAATTTCAATTAAAAAATCACAAATAATGCCAGCAACTTATCAAATGCTCACTGCTTTTATTAATCTCAACTTTTCATTTTATGACCAAGTTATTGTTTCATGATTCTGAATATTTCTTAATAAAGAAATATTAACATTATAATCATAAAGAAGTAAATAACATCACTTCTGATAGCTTTCCTCAAGTTTAAAAATGTTTTCACTAGGGTTGGTCTGCTGGTCTAAAGATGACTATGCCAAGAAAAATGTTAATTAAGAAATAATCTGTAATTCCAGAAAAAACAATGCTTTTATCATTTTACTTTGCCTAATTTAATCCATATTGTAATTTAACTGGCAAAGAGAGAGAATTAAAATCTAGTTAAAACCATAAAAGCAAGCACACATTATATAACATGAAAATTATGGACAACAAAATGTTTGAGCATTCTCATATCTCCATTTACACCCTGAAGAGGTGACATCCTTTCTTCAGTGGACAAGGACAGAAAGCAGTCAGAAAGAGAATTATTTGAATCAAATATTTCTGAATGCACATATTTAGGATGCAACTTGACTGTTATATGTGCAAAGTACATTAAGGTTATTAAAAATGGAAAAATACTAGCAGTTTGGGTCAAAAAATTTTTTAATTTCTACTTTACTTTAGGTTTCAGTAAAATAGTGGGAAAAACACATTAAACTGGATGCACAGAGCCTCTCAGGAAAAGAAAATAGATCCAGTATCTAGTATGACAATTTACCAAATAATTTTTTAAACTACCACTTACAATTTTAAGGTCCGACATGACAGACAGACCAATGGAAATAGAGAACAGCGCTGTACTTCAAAAGAGCTCTGAACTGTCCCTTTATTTATTTATTTATTTATTTTAAATAGACACATGTTTTTATTTATTTATTTGTTTGTTTGTTTGTTTGCTTGCTCATACATGCACTGGGTACAGTGAGAAGCGCGGGAGGGTGAGAGAACTCACCAGAGCCAGAGCGGGGAGCAGAGCAGGCAGAAGGACCGAAGTACACTGCTGAGGGGAGCAGCGGGGCCGCAGGAAAGGTCTGCGCGCCATGTGGGACCCTCCTCCGGTGGCCGGGGAGCAGCCGGGGATCGAACCGGCACAGCAGAGGCCACAGGCAGCTTCGCAACCCAGCGCTCAACCGCTGCGCCACCGGGGAGGCCCCTGTCCCTTTATTTTTAATTCATTTTACAATTTCTTATTAGAAGACTATTATTGATGAAATTTTTTACTGTTTATAATAATAAACTAGCCAAATTTAATTATAATTTTTCTATTTTTGTGTGTCTTTCTCTTTCCAGGAATCCTAAGTAAAAATAACTCTTCTGGAGTTTAATTCCTTAAAAGAAACTATCTCTATGTTCATGTAAATTTATGTATACTCTGAGTATCTACTATGAAAAATAAACATTTTATGTAATTAAGCCTTGTGTGGAAAGTTTTAAATCAATGGGAAAACCACTGCTGTTTCCCAGTCATGTAAAACTGTTAAATTCTATAATGATATGGGCGCTCTCATATTAAGCTTCATTTTCTCCTCTACAGTAAAAACAATGGTTTGCTATTTCTGAAAAACACTGGCAAACTTTTATTATGATACACATACAATATTCCTAGTAAGTCATTAACTTGTGTTGATTTACATAATATTTAATTTTCAAAACAAGATTGTTTTAAAAAGGAAAAAACCAACCACATATCTCTTATGACATACTGTATTCAGGGAAATTGGAACAGATCAAGAACTTTGTCAAAGTCTTCCCTGCCCCAAGACAACACACTCTATATTCACTCCTAGACACAAAATTGTCTACTCCACTCTATTTAAACTTGGGGTTGTGAATTTGTTCACTGTATCTAAAGCACCAAAAGGGGTCCTCAACGAATATATGTTAAATACGCTCATTAAAATTCCTGTCATTTATAAATGTCTGCAACTCAAATTCCTGCAACAGACAGCTCGTGTCTTGGGACTTGATTCCTTTACATTTATGTATCACTTTACAAAACGATCTGTCCATATTATCTCACCGAATCCCTCTCTGCGAAATGAACTGCCTAGAAATACACATTGAATAAACAGCAAGACTTTTACAATTAATCTAAAAACTAGGGAAAGTGTTTGTTGTTTGTTTGTGCAGGGGTCATAAGCGGACAAGTCAAAACAAAACAAACTTGTCTCGAAGTGATTACAACAGGCTCTATCCTCGCAGTCTGGCACTCATAGATTTGGGGAAGAGGAAAATGGTGTCTTTCCCGGGGTATCCTGGCTGGGGTGCCACCTTTTCACAGCTCCTGATAAACAGCAAGGAAAGGTAAACAAGAGCCGCTCTTGAGAAACTATCTCGGGCTGTCAAGTTGGGAAAGCTGGCAGCCGAGGGCAGAGACACCCAAGTACTCCAAGCAGAATTTCTTCAGGAACGTCCCTCATCTCCGCGACCCTCTCCAGCCGGCCCGGCGCCGGGAAGTGCGGGGCGGAGCGACGGCCGGGGCCGGCGGCCGCACAATGACAGCGCCACGGCGGGTCGCGCGGCCTGCGCCCCGGCCCCTCGCCCGGCCCCTCGCCCGGCCCGCCCGGAGCCACCTACCGGCCCGAGGGGAAACCCGGCCCGGCGCCGGAAGAACCGCCGAGGCAGGGGGCAGGCCCCGGAGAAGGTCCAGGGAGGGTCTGGGGGCACTTTTCAACGACAGGAGCATTTCTGCGCCTCTTTCGGGGTTTCTGCTTAGTGGCCACAGTCCGACCCCAACATCAGGAGCCCTGAAGGCGCTCGGGCCGGGGAGCACCGGGGTTCACTTCAAATGTGAGAAGCAGCTGCTCCAGAGGCCGGCAAAGGCCCATCCCACAGGAAAGTGAGGGGTGCCAGGCGAAGCTCCGCGCACCCCCTCACCACCTCTCGGTGGGGTGGGCCTTTGGCCCTCCCCGGGGTCGCAATGGCTCAGGTGAGGAACTACTTCGTTACCTCTATGCGCGGAGGCGAGCGAGGAGGTGATGAGCCGCGCGGCAACCGAGCCGCAAGTACAAGCGCCGCAGCCGGACATCTCCGCGGGACTAGGCCGGGGCTTCGCCTCCTGCTGCCCTCCGGGCCTCAGCCGCCCGACTCCTACTCTGTAGGGCGCGCAGACTTGGTTCCGGACCCTCCCGCCGGCCCCAGGCCCAGTGCAGAGTTCACCCGCCTGGCAGCCAGGCCTTCGCGCTGTCCGTGCCCCACTGCCGTCTACTCAAGAGATACCTAACCCCCCTCCCTCCCCCTCCTCTACCTCCTCCCCCTACACCCCCGCCTACCGGGCCCGGGGAGCGTGCGCGCGCTTGCGTCCTAGGCTTAGGGAGGGGGCGTGGGCACGCGCAGCGTGTGCGTGCGTGAGACACTGACGTGCGGCGAGGAAAAAGGGGGCGGTGACCTGGAAGCCAATGAGCACGCTCGGGCAGGCGGCCCGTCGCCACTGGAGGAAGTACCAGTCCTGAAATGAAGGGCTTCCGGAAGTTGGTTTAGCCTAACGTAGAAAAGTTTGAGACGGAACTGAAGAGATGCAAGCCGGGAGTTGTAGTCCCAACCCTTCGCTGTACACTGGTAATTTTCGGTTGGTAGCGGGCAAGGTCACAGTGACTTAACCAGCCCTGAGAGTTTTTAAAACTTCATCGGGTACCTTGCGCCAGGCGCTTCAGTCAATAAGTTCCTTCCCCTAGGTTTCCACAGCCTGTATTCTTCATCGTGTCTTCATCCTTAGTTTCTTCATTTGTAATATACTAGTGGTATTTTTTTTTTTTTTTTTACCTAGTTCCACAAGCAACAACTGTTGATCGATGACAGCTCTCTCTTCTTTCAAGCCTACTGGTGATAACTCTTCCAGCTGTTGAAGTCCCTGTGTGCTTTACAATCCTTTGTTCCCTTAAACCTGACCACACCCTGGTAAAAAAAAAAAAAAAAAAGCCTCGCCATTAAAATCCCTTGTGTTACCCTTTGAGCCCTCTGCCTGCACGGTTGGTTCCTCTCTAGACAGCTAAACCAGATCGACCAGCTGTACGAAGTGGAGGGTGATGACATATGAATCAGAGTCATTTCCCATCTGGGTTGACTCCAGTCTGTTTACTTTGTGTGTAAGATTCTAATGAACTCTGAAACCCAGAGAAATTGCTTATGAGTTTGGGTGCCTTTAGTTGGGGGGTGGGGCGTGGAGCGAGGCCAAGCCAGAGTGGAGACCAGGTCACCCAACTTACTTAGCTCTCTTCAGTTTTGGATCAGAGAAATGTGACTTCTCGTTCCCCAGGACTAGCCTTGACAAGAGACATTGGCCTTGGCCCAGACCTCACGTGTTTTTTCTCTCTGAAGAAGCAGATGCCTGGTGCTCCCTCAGCTTAAAGTGGCAGAGACCAGAATGGAATCCAGGTCTTCCTCAGCTGCCTCCAGTGTTTTCAGACATTTCCTAGAATCTGTCAGAAACCACAGCCTTGTGGTGGAAGTGAAGGAACTGACCTTTGCTACACCAGAACCAACCAGAGCAGCTCAGCTTTTATCTGCTTCCTTTATTGGGGTTTGTTGGAAAAGCAGAGCTTTTTGCTTTATAACTTTGGGTGAAACGCATTGATTCTAAGAAAAAATCTCTCTTTTTAGAAATCAACTTAGTGGGTCACATGGACCCCAACACTGTAATTAAATTTCTTCCATCCCGCCTCTGCTTCTCATTTTCATTAAATACACATTTCTCTCTCTTAGACGAATAAACAAGATGTGCTGAAATCTATAGATTGCTATAAAGCCAACTAATTAAAAGCACAGTTAAGTCAAGACTGAGCTGGGGGCATTTCTCCATGAGACATTCCTTTTCTCTTTCCTAGGGACTTCTCTTTCATTCATTCAACAAATAATGAGCACCAGTTACATGCCAGGCACTGGTGAAATAGCATTGAACCAAAATATCCTTTCTCCACTCATGGAACTTCCATTCTAAGTGGGGAAAGACAATACAATAAGTAAAACAAAAATATATGCCACTGATATGATGACACAGGAATATTGTCTAGTATATCATCAAATTCCCGGGACAATTGACCTTTTAATGTTATTTATGGGCCGATATTTTGTGTGTTTAGACTTGTATTCCCAACTGGACTATGAGTTTTTTGAATGCAGGTCTTTCATTATATACTTGGGCTGAATACACAGTAGAAAATTGGTAAATACTTGACTATCTTACAATAATACTTTTGCTTGGCAGAAACTCCTATATACAATCAGGGCAAATTATAATTCAAAACAAGTTTCCTGTTAATAGGCACAAATTCTGCAAACGCATACAATGGTTAGCCCAACTGAATGTCCCAGAAGGGATCCCCAGGAGATGCCTAATCAACAGAGGGTAGACTTTGCCCTGGAAGGTACAAAATAAAGGGAGCTGTACACAGCCTGGTTTAACTTTTTCTCAGCAATGTGAACAAGGGTCATGTGGCTTTGGCACCAGACTGGTGATGGTTTCAACACACAAGCAACATGTATTTGGCATTTTGAATACATCATCCCCAAGCTGTGCTGTGGGTCAAAATGTATCAGTACCCAACAAATATCAATTGGGACACTAACTTCGTACTAGGCTTTTTTTTTTAAGATTTATTTATTTATTTATACAAGAACCGGGGTACAGGCCAGATTCCTGGGAGGGTGAGAGGATTCACCAGAGACAGAGCAGGGAATAGAACAGGCAGACTGACGAAATACACTGCTGAGGGGAGAAGCAGGCACAACAGGAGAGGTCTGCCGCACCATGTGGGACCCTCAACAGCCGGCTGGGATCAAACTGGCGCTGCAGAGGCAGCGGACCGCTTCACAGCGCTGCACTCAACCGCCTGCTCCACCAGGGGAGGCCCTGTATTAGGCTTTTTGATGTTATAAGTAAGCCTTATAGTGATGCTCACATTGGGGAATTTGTACCATGGGGGTATAATGAGACTTCCCAATTTGTATTTGAGCACAGTTTAAATAAAGTTTAAATAAAATAATGTCTATGTTCATATATATATATAGGGTAACTATAAAGGGTTCAAATGTATAGGATCGTTCATTGGGAACCACTTGGCTATTTGACAAAGGAACAGCTTCCATTTTATAAGGGTACATTCCCTGACCTGAAATGCACAGGTCGAGACAATTCCCTTGCTCCAAAGTGTGACCACGTAGCTGTGAGATGGAGCAGAGCTTGGTATCTGGGCAGAGAGCAATAGGGCTCCAGAGGCACAGTAAGACCCTTCTTTCTCACTTGGCACCATTTGCGTAAGCTCTGGCCAACTTCCTATAAGGACATGCCCTCAAGTTCGAAATTTGAAGACATAAAGCCAATTCTTTGCAATAAAATGGATCTTCTATGAGGAAAGTGATGGCAAATACCTGTGGTCACATCTTATCAGCTCTTTGGAAAAATATTTCTACAGTATACCTTTTCTGGCTGGTTAATGATGCTTAAGAAAGGAAGTCAAGTCCAATTTTCCCACTCAATAGTTCTACTCAAAGAGCTGATTCCTTGAGTTATTTGCCTTTTAAGAATTACATAGCTGAAGGCACATAGGTTTTATGTCTCCTTTTTACCTATGGCTCTTCTTTTGTACTTGATTCTACCACCCAGTATTTTGAGTTGCTAAGTGAAAAATAGTTTTATAGGTTGTGTCAGTGAGACATCTAATTTAGCACTGGATTTTTCAGATAAGGAAACAAGCTTATAAAAAGACAGGTGTTTGACCAAAGTCACATGAGTCAGAAACAGAAATAGAGCTCCAGTCTACTGCTTTTAAAACTGCTTTTCTTTTTTTTTCTTTTTAAACCCAAGACTCTGTTTGATAAACATGAAAATCTCACCTCCTACCACTTCTTAGAAAACCATCATTTTGTTGGGAATCACTATCTTCTGAATAAATTCATTTTTTTCTTCTGGTCAAACACTGATTCTTCAGATCAATAGCTGTTGATCCTACCAGGCACATATGGGAACTCTATATTTTAAAAGATAAAGATTTATTTTAAAAGATACAGATTTATTCTTACATCTGTAGGTAGTGTGAGACTCAATATAACAGCCAACATGACATAGAACTTTAAAAAATGCTTTTATATCCACCTTCTCATCTGATTCTCACAGCATGTATTATTGAGGTATTACTATTTGCCTTCTGGTTCTGCAGCTGGGAAGATCAGATACAAAAGGTTTAAGTGACTTGTCCAAGGTCATAGCAGAACTCAAACCCAGATCTCCACTACTGCTTCCATTACTTCCCTACATGCTCCTCCAAAAGCTGTGAGATTTTAAATGTCTGCACAATCTCCATTCCTTACCAAGAAATAATCTCCCATTAAGGATTAAAGAGCCACCATACCATTAACACAGTGGTTCCCCATCTTGCCTTCTCTAAGAAATGACCAGGGGTTTAAAGTATACCCAGCATCCTCCTCTGAAGTTTTCATGAACAATGTGCAGCGGGACTCAAGAATCTGTTTTTATTGCTAGAATACTAGAATCAGGAGAGGCTAAGGTCTACCTGAATGAACAAGGTGTTTCCATAGTGGTGAGAAAAGCCTCGCCCTTTATTTCTCAAGGTCTCTTTTGTAGGTTCCCTTTAATTGCTACCACTGAGTCACTGCCCAATCTTGATATTGTGGGGAGACTAAGAGGTTCACAGGAGAGGACTTACCACCCTCCTGGATTTGTCCTTGGGGGCTGGTGATGACTTCAGAGAGGACAAGTACCTACTTCCACCCTTTGTCCTAAATTAGAGGACAGTTCTCCATTCTGATGTTCAGGGAGATGGTCACCAGATGGCACTAACTCACCGTGGCATCCCTCTTTGAGGCCATTTGGTCGAGACACGGTGTGCTTTAAACTAGTCCTTTGGAGGTGGTTTGGTTTTGTTTGGGCATACCACGCCTTGAAGATAGTGCTAGGAAATGTTTGTTCTGTGTTTTATAAAGGGCACAGATGTCAGAAGGATGGGTGTGTGGATTCCTGCTGGGTCACTTACCAGCTGTGTGACTTCTGACAAGTGAGTTAACTTCATAAGCCTGTTTTTTCACCTATAAAGTGGGGTAGGCTCGTATTAACTTCTTATTACACATTAACTACTCACATTAACTTCTACAGAAATAAATTATTCTTTGGCGCATAGTACACACTAGGTGCTTCATAAATAATAAAGACTTTTTTTTTCCTGTGTAATGCTATGATTTTAAAGATGCTTGTAAAAGATTCCTTTTCAGTTGTGCTTTCTACCCAGGATGTTCATGACCTCACCCTACCTTAGCATTATAAGGAGTTCGTGTGATTTCAGATGAGAAACTGAATGAGAGTATGGACCCTTAGTTTATAAGTTCTTTTCACTTTGTAGTTTACTTGCATTAGCCATAAAATTAGATAATAAAGGTGATATTTCAGTAAAATTATAGTCATTTATTACTTTATAAGCAACATTTATTGAATCACAAGCATCCAATGGGCTGTACCCACTGGTAAGTCAGCCAATAAGTAAGAAATAAGGAAAAAAGTCTTCTGAGTCACTCACATAGGTGTTACAAGGTTGGCATGTCAAAATTCATATACTTTGCTAGGTCTTCACAGTCTCACAAACTCAGTTGGCTTTTTTCTTTTTTAAAGATTGATTTATTCATACGTATAAGAGCTGGGGTACAGGCCAGAGATGTGGGGGATGAGAGGATCCACCAGAGACAGAACAGGGAACAGAACAGGCAGGCTGACTGAAATATACTACTGAGGGGAGCAGCAGGCAAGACAGGAGAGGTCTGCTGCATCATGTGGGTTTCTCGCTGGCCAGCCAGGGATCAAACTCAGGCAGCAGGGGCTGCAGATTGCTTCATGATGCGGTGCTTAACCCCTTGCGCCACCAGGGAGGCCCTCAAGTGGCCTTTTAATCACAAATTCAGGAAGCATTTTTTAATGAGCAAGTAGTTAGAGGCTATCAAAGTGACCAGATAATTCTGAAAAGGAATAACAACCAAAAACCTTCCTTGAAGATGAAAAGTATAATTGTTAAAATTACATGGATAAATTTCATTAATATTTTTGACGAGCCAAAAAGAAAAGAGATGCTAAAAGCAGACATTTTAAACAGAGCCAGAGGGTTCTCTAGGATCCTCACAAAAAGGGGGTAAACAGAAAGATGGATGCAAGAACTCAACAGAAGAGTATATAGTCTGAAGTCATCTGGTTGAAATTTTGATATAAAATTTCTTAAATATGTCAGTACTGGTTGCCATTTCATTATACTACAGAAATAATTGGTATTCATTATCAGAATTCCTAATGCATCAGGAAAAGATTGGATTATGCTTTTTTCTTTTTTTTTTTTAAAGATAGAACATATACAGGCCTCCCTAGTGGTGCAAGTTGTTAAGGCTCAGCATTATGAAGCTATTGGCATCCACTGCAGCATGAGTTCGATCCCTGGCCAGGGAGCTAACCCACATGGTGCAGCAGACCTCTCCTGTCTTGTCCTCTGCTCCCCACAGCAGTAGTGTATTTCAATCATTCAGCCTGTTCTTCTCCCCACTCTGTCTCTGGTGAATCCTCTCACACACACCCTCCACACACACACCTCTGGCCTATACCCCAGCTCTTGAATGCATAAATAAATGTTTCTCTAAAAAAAAAATACACTTTTTTTAAAAAGCTAGAGGGCCTCCCTGGTGGCGCAAGGAGATAAGACGCAACCTATGAAGTTGTCCGCAGCCACTGTAGCATGGGTTCCATACCTGGCCAGGGAGCTACCCACATGGCACAGCAGACCTCTCCT